TTTTTTGAACCCCCTTATGATTCATCACCCCCAAACTCAATCCCAGCCTTCCCTTTGTGGTATGGTACCTTGCAGTACAATTTCAGAGAGATCCATACACTTGAACACAAGTTATTGTCTGGAAACTAGAAAAATGCTTATTTTTGGCCCCTTTTTGGCCCCCTATTCCTAAACGTTTCGGGCAATTACCCACAAACTCAATTCCAGCTTTCCCTTTGTGATATGGAACCTTGTAGTACAATTTCAGAAATATCCAAACACTTACACACAAGTTATTGTCATGAAACTAGAAAAATGCTTGTTTTTTGCCCCTTTTTTGGCCCCTAATTCCTAAAATTTTGAGGTAATTACCCCTAAAATCAATTACAGCCTCCCTTTGTGATATGGAACCTTGTGGTACAATGTCAGAGAGATCCATACACTTACACACAAGTTATTGTCTGGAAGTTACAAAAATGCTTATTTTTGGCCCCTTTTTGGCCCCTAATTCCTTAACTGTTGGTACCATAACCCCCAAAATCAATCCCAACCTTTTTTTTCGTGGTATTGAACCTTAAGGTAAAATTTCATGGAGATCCATTCACTTAAACTAAAGTTAGAGTGCGAAAACCAATGTGTCTTCGGACGACGCCGGACGACGCCAGACGACGACGACGACGACGACGCCAACATCATACCAATATACGACCAAAAAATTTTCAATTTTTGCGGTCGTATAAAAATACTGAGACAATAATTTAAAAAAAAAAAAAGAGTTTGAATAAACACATCAAAAGAGAGATTTTTCACAACAAACAGAAATCTAAAATAAACACATCAAAAGAGAGATTTTTCACAACAAACAGATATCTAAAATAAACACATCAAAAGAGAGATTTTTCACAACAAACAGATATCAAAAATAAACACATCAAAAGAGAGATTTTTCACAACAAACAGAAATCTAAAATAAACACATCAAAAGAGAGATTTTTCACATCAAACAGATATCTAAAATAAACACATCAAAAGAGAGATTTTTCACAACAAACAGATATCTAAAATAAACACATCAAAAGAGAGATTTTTCACAACAAACAGATATCTAAAATAAACACATCAAAAGAGAGATTTTTCACATCAAACAGATATCTAAAATAAACACATCAAAAGAGAGATTTTTCACATCAGACAGATATCTAAAATAAACACATCAAAAGAGAGATTTTTCACATCAGACAGATATCTAAAATAAAATCTTTGTTGTTAATTATTTGATTAATACTGATTTAGAATCTTTTAAATTTTCAGAACTTTGATTTTCAGATAAAATAATCTTCATCTGAAACAAGATTATGTGTCTATAGGACACCAGTGATGCCAAACCCCTACCAACCTTGAAACATGGGTCAAAACCCTTATTTGACATATATTTTTAAAATTCACATCATAATGAACATGTGTATTAAGTTTCAAGTTGATGTGACAAAAACTTTAACCTGATTTAGCACGAACACACAGACTGGAAAGCAAACTGCCCCCTTTTATCATAGACGGGGCATAAAAATCACCTTTCATTTTGATAATTTTTAAGACTTCAAAAAACCTTTTTTTTTTAAACCTTGTCTTTGTCTGTAACATATCATAAAATCGAAATATATTTGTGATTTGAAGTGCAAAAATACTTTCTAACATATAAATGATATCATAAAAGTATTATTATCATCTTCATATTGGCTAACTAGATACTGAAAGGTAGACAAACAATCAAATGGTCTTGTAAATTATTAAAAAAATTGTAAAGAGTTCTGTGGAATCATGTGTCTCGCCTGCGATTGCTGCTGTCAGTGTAAAAGTGAAATGTTGACTGTAAAAAGTAAGTCAATTTATCAGTAAAATGCAGATTTCTTTAAATCAAAATTTTCTTTAGAGGCTATTTCTTGATCTTGAAGATTAGCTTCTGTCCAATTTCATTACAATCCATGAAGGTTTACATATCTATCATGTCAAAAAATTTAATCCCAGCTGTCTGTAAATGTTCATCGCAAAACACTAAGGCTGATGTCTTGACTTTAAACACAGACTGAACCTCAATGTTAATGCGTCCGAGGATGCATAAATGTAAGATCACTGCATGTCTCAACACAGGCTCAACAAAAAATAAGACAGATCTGTTATATTTTTCTACATTTTGCTGGCATTGAATTGAAATGATAACAACATGGTTACATGGAATGCAATTTTTCAAGTGTGTTACCTTGCCTTATCATAGGTTAGATACATTTTGGTGCTTCTCAGAAAAAGATTGCCTTGATAAAAGAAAGAAAGCACATTATCTTTTACATTTCTCAAATTTCTTTGAAATGCGCTGTTGCAAAACTATTGATTAAACTGAGAACTTTGTAAAAAAGTTAACACTCTTACCTATCCTATCTTTTATCTCATTTATAAAACAAATACAATGGATTCATCTAGTGTCCCTTTTCACAAGTGAAAACAGCAAACTTGAAAGGAAATTTTATCTAATTATACATTCCCATCTTATTTCATGTATATTTTATATAATGTTTTAGATGGCAATAGTTGGTTAAGGTTAAAAAGAGTGTTTGCATAATGGACAGGTGTCAAATAAAACCATCGTTCAAGTCAGAAAGAAGATAAATCACTGTTGTGCATAGTTAATTTTTTTTAATGTACATTATATACAAGATCACAGATAATCTTTTAAAAAGTTTATAAGTGAATTTATATGGACTTATGGCAGAGAAAATTCTCTTTCCCTCACAAAAGCATTACCTCACACAAAAAACTCTATATTTCTAACATGGCAGAAGGGAAATAACTCTAATATTTATATTAACACATTTTTTTCCATGAAATTTACATGAATAAATCAGTTGAGCAAGCTTTTGTTTAAAAAAAATAATTATAAATACAAAACCATTTATTTACTGCACTTTCTGCTGTAACAATTAACTCAGATTTTGAAAATCACCTAAATCTCCTTTATTTCATGCTGACATCTCATTTAACATGTTTAATATAATTCACATAATGTTTAACACAAAAGTATAATGAATATCCCACACAAGAAGCTGTTTAAAAATGAGATATTTATTATAATTATGACAATTATATATAGTTCAAAAACATGTCATGTAAGAAAAAACAAAGCAACAAATCACAAATGTGCATTAACCAAGTTTTACCTGTCAAAGGAGCATTCATGGCCACATGATAGGCTGTTAAATGATAATTTCATTCTGAAAAAAACATTGGCCACACCCTTGGACCAAAATAAAATTGTTATTAAAAGCTGTGTATGGGTCGGATTCACATCTTTACAAAAAAATATGGTGGTCCTTGCATGTGGCTAATTTCATTACAAGTAATGCAAAAATTACTCAAAATTATCATTTTTTCATTAGAGTGCAGAACTATGACGTCATAATGACATCACGATAGTTCAAATGTGTCAAGGGCTTGTTGAATTGGGCACAGAACCTTTGCGCTTTTTTACCTGTAACACAATAGGACATTTGCGCTCCAAACACTATGGACATTTGTGCTCTAAATTTTGATACACCTGTATTTAATTGACCTGACATTTGCGCTTTTTACCTATAGTCATCTACCTGTAATTTTAATGAATTGTAATCATCGCGTAAATAAATTCAACGTATATCTGTGGCTAGTTAGTTCACATTGACATAGTAGTTCACATTGACATAGTAGTTCGCATTGACTAAACATAGAGTTTAAAGTTATCGACTAGTAAAGGAAAAAAATGTATATGTCATTATCATTGAACAACAGTCGGTTGATTTCATTAAAATTCATTATATTGATGAACAGGGACATAAGAGTTGAGAAAGAGAAACTAGAATATTTATTTGAAAATATGGGCAAAATACCAGATTACAAGAGCTTAATTTGTTCATTCTCTGAGCTTCAGATATCAAACAAAAACTGACTTGTGATGACTATATGTGTCTTTATGTCTTTAGAATGTTTACTTTTAGCTATATATAACTATATTAATGTGCAAGGTCAAACCTACCGGTCCTATGCATGGATAAGATAAGAGGGAAGTCATAAGAAGAAAGTATTGTAAAAGTGCAAATGTCCTATATAAAAAGCGCAAATGTCCTATAAATTGAAGCGCAAATGTCCTATGAAAAAACGCAAACGTCCCGCCCTGGTTGAATTTGTTTTGTCAGATATTAGTTCACATTTTGTTGTCAAATCTAATTTGAATTGCTTAAGTTAAACTTCACAGAATTTTTTAGGGTGGGGGGTGTCTTCATAGATTTGTTTAGAATTAAAAGGATGCGATGTATTTGTTCAGGACATGTTCATAATATCAAAAGAACAACCAGAATTGTCAAACATCTTAGATTTCAAAAGGTGTAAAAAATATAGTTTTGAATTGGATTCATCACAGGACAGTAACATTAAAATGTGGAATGGCTGGAAAAGCAGTTTCTATCTATCAAAAGGGAATCAATGTTTTTGTGACTTCCAGCTTTCAAATTTCTGTAACAGTAGCAGCAATAAATCTAGACTGAATACAATTCCTTGATACTGGTATTAAGTAAGTTGTTAAGATTTATTGTCATTTTATTTTTTAAATTTCCCTAAATAATATCAAGTGGTGCGCAAATCTCTCTATTTTTGCTATATATCTTCCACCTACAGACAAAGCCCTTTCCTATGTTAGAGTAATAAAATGATACTGAAAAACTTCTCAGTGTTGTAGTATATATATATGTTCCCCCATAGATAAACCCCTTGCTTAATGATTCAAAATGCTAAAAATCTCCTCAGTGTTGTAATATATATCTGTTTCCCCAAAGACACCTCCTAATGTTAGAACAATGATGAAATAGTAACTACAACCTCAATGATGTAATTATTGTGGGGGGATTATGTTTCCCTATGTAAATAAAAGAACAGAGTTCCAATGTCCCTCGCATTGCACATATTTTATGTATCCAAGGTACAAGGGCAATTACTAAAAAAAAAAATTTTTTTCTTTTTCTTTAAAACTTTTTATAAATGCCTTAGAGAAATGAAGGCTTGAGAGCAAATGCAATGTGATTTCCATTATAAATAATATTTCCAAGAATTGTATACATGAGAGCGCTAACAATGCAATTTTCCATATAATCACTATTTCCAAGGGCATAACTCTTTTAAAAATAATTGATCAGTACTGATTTTCTAACTCATCAAAGTTGATGATATAAACCTATAATATAAAATTTATAAAAAACTGGCAAGAAATGTACACATCAAAGTGCTCACAAGGCAATTTTACATATAATTAATATTTCCAAGAGCCATAACTCTTTTAAAAATAAATAATCAGAACTGATTTTCGAACTCGTACAAGACATTGCTGATATAAACCTATGATATAAGTTTCATAAAAATCTGGCAAGAATTGTACAAATAAGAGCACTAACGATGCAATTTTCCATATAATTAATGTTTCCAAGGGGCATAACTCTTTTAAAAATAATTGATCGGCACTGATTTTTGAACTTGTCCAAGACATTGCTGATATGAACCTATGATACAAGTTTCATAAAAATCTGGCAAGAATTGTACATGTGAGAGTGCTAACAAGACCGGACGCCTGGTAATTCTATGTCCCCCGCAACGCATTGCGCAGGGGACAATAAGGGGTTATTAATAAATAACTTTGAGCAAAGTTCATAAAATAAATATATAATATATGGTTAAGATTCTGAAACATTTCATTCAATTCAGATTAGGGGTTTAGGAGGATAAGCAGATACAAGTTTGTTCTGTAGTGAGAATATTGATGGATTGAAGAGCAGACATCTTAGCACTATATAATACATGCTTAATAAAATAGAGAACATAACAAATCCTTTCCTATTTAAAACAAAGATAAAAATAAAATACTAAATATCATCATGTTGTAACACATCTGTTGTAACCCTGTAGACAATCCCATTTCTTAGTTAAAGAATATTGATGAAATACTTCATATCTTCTCAGCAATTTAATATATATGCACCCTCATAGCCAAACTCCACTCTTACTTATCACCCTAAAGAAAAATCTCCACATCTTTGCTATAAATCTGTTTCCCTATAAACAAACGCTTTTCAATGTTAAAACAATAATAAAATACAAAATATCTCCTTAGTGTTGAAGTATAACTATCCCCCAGACAAAATCTTCTCATCTTTGCTATAAATTTCCCCTTATATATAGATCAGTCCTCTTTTTAATGTCAGATTAATGATAAAATACTAAATATCTCCTCATCTTTTTTTATAAATGTAGGACTCTGAACCGTGATGGTCACACTGAAGTGCGATGGTTTGACGCTGAAGTTTGTTTTTGATCACGCTGAAGTGCAATGGTGGCATTGTGATGCTATCTTGTTGATAGCTACGCTGGAGTGTGTTGGTGGTGATGCTAAAGTGCGATGGATTACATAAATTATATACCTTAAATGATTTTTATGTTCCCATGTCGATGAAGAAGTCGATTTTTTGATAGAAGCAGCTTTCATGTTTTATGATAAATCATCGAGAGTACATGTATGCAGTAAAATTGAATAGGACGATCTCTCATTTAGCATGATACTGTTACTAAGGACAAACATAATATGAAATATATTCCTGTATTTCTAAAATGTTACAAACACCTTTTAAAGAGATGTACATGAAACTATGATATTAACAGGGAACTTACGATAATATTTAAACAGTATACGATTATCACATACTAGTAATCCTAATTTGTATAGTGAACAGGCATATTGCAGGAACGATTCTTTTATTTCAACCTTACAACCATACCAAAATACCATAAATGTTTTATGGACAATAATGAATGCAAATTTATGTATGCTTCTCAAAAAAATTGCACATCTGTAGAATTTAAACATAGCCAATAAACGTGTCATATAGACCATCAGTAAAAAGACCATCACACTTTAGCAAAGACCAATGCACTTCAGCATGGCCATCACACTTCAGCGTCCCCATCACACATACAAGTCCTTCATATAATATGTTCAAATTAGAAAAAAAATTATTTTACATCTCTATATACTCTAGCCCCTCTGGAAAAATTTCCCATATTTGCTATATATATCTATCTCCCTGTGGACAAATTATACATCTTTGATATATATCTGTCCCCCTTTGACAAAATCTGTCCATCTTTGATATATATTCATCAGTCCCCCTTGGGCAAAATCTCCACATCTTTGCTATATATTGTGCCCCCTTTGGACAAAATCTGCCCATCTTTTCTAAATATCTGTCCCCTTTGGACAAAATCTGCCATATTAGCTAGATAGCTGCCCCCCTTTGGACACAATCTGCCCATCTTTGCTATATATCTCTCTACCTCTGGACAAAATCTTCCCATCTTTACTATACATTTAGCTCCATTTGGAAAAACTTCCAATCTTTGCTAATATCTAACAAATTATGCCATCTTTGATATATATCTGTCCCCTGAGGACGTATCTGCCCATTTTTGTCGAGCCTGCAACTTTTGTCTCAAAAGCGAGACATAGCGATCCTACATTCCGTTGGCGGCAGCGTCCACAATTATTAACTCTGTGGTTAAAGTTTTTGAAATTTTAATAACTTTCTTAAAATATCATGGATTTCTACCAAACTTGGACAGAAGCTTGTTTATGATCATAAGATAGTATCCAGAAGTAAATTTTGTAAAAAAAAGAATCCTGTTTACATACAGTCTGTAGTTAAAGTTTTTAAAACATTTATTAGATTCATAAACCATTCTGGATTTTTACCAAACTTGGACAGAAGCTTCTAACAATCAAAAGAAATTATCTAGAGGAAAATTTTTAATAATTTTTTCCCCATTTTTGTTGAGCCTGTGACTAGCAGCAAAAGGAGGCGAGACACTGGGTTCTGTGGAACCCTTACAAATTTTTGATATATATATATCAGTCCCCCTTTGGACAAAACCTGCCCATCTTTGATATATATATATCAGTCCCCCTTTGGACAAAAACTACACATCTTTGATATATATCATGCCCCCTTTGGACAAAATCTGCCAATCTTTGCTATATATCTGGCGCCCTTTGATCACAATCTGCCCATCTCTGCTATATATCAGTCCCTCTTTGGACAAAATCTACACATCTTTGACATGTATTGTGCCCCCTTTTGATAAAATCTGCCAGCCTTTGCTATATATCTGGAGCTGTTTGGTTACAATATGCTCATCTTTGCTATATATCTGTCCCCTGATGGACAAAATCTGCCTATCTTTGCTATACATCTGTCCCCCTTTGGACAACATATTTTCATCTTTGCTATTTATCTGGCCCCTGTAGACAAAATCTCTTTATCTTTGTTATACATCTGAGCCCCAATAGACAACCCCTTCTTATAATGTCCAAATAATGATAAAATACTAAAATCTCTTTATATTCACTATATACTGGTAAAAAATACTAAAATCTCTTATCTTCACTATATACTGGTAACTACCAGTATCCACCTATAGACAAAATCTCATCATCTTTGAAATATATTTGAGCCCCAATAGACAAACCCCCTTCATAATGTCAGAACAAAGATAAAATACAAAATATCTTAACATCTTTGCTATATCAATTAAAAGATTTCATTGTTCAAATCAATTTAATTTAAACAAAGGGATTGAATAAAGGCTCAGCCTTTATAAATCCTTTTCCAAATGTCTCCACATCTTTGCTATATATCTGCCCCCCAATGGACAATCCCCCTTCTTAATGTGAAAACAATGATAAAGCTATAAAGATAATGCTTAACATTTCCTCAGTGTTGTAGTATATTATTCTATCTGTCCATCATCTGCTAAAACACTCACAATTCCAAAAATAAACACACATATTTACAGTTCAATCCCAGAGAGAAAATGTGCAGATAGAAAGGAAAATATATCAAATGGCCAAAAATCGTTCAATGGCATCTATCTTTCTGTTACACTGGAAAGTAATAATAAAAAGTATCAAGTTACAAATAGTGCAAATCAATCTGAAAACTGTCAAAACTCTATTAAACTAATCAAGAATCAATTCATTCTACCATCTCTCATAATCCTATTTTCTTTAACAACATTGAGAAATGCAACATGGAGATGATAGAAAGAAAAATAAAGGCTCCTAGGCCTGAATGTCTCACTAAGATGTATTTTGCCAAAATCACAAAATCGCAAAATAAAGGCTTTTCATCAAAACCAAAGTGCAAAATTTGTAAAACATGGTTAGTAGTCCTCTGAAGGACATCTCTGCATGGCTTATCTTTTTTCCTTTCATCCGTTCTTAAATAAAATTCAAATCCTAATTTTATAGTGTTTCAATACACCTTACTGCTATTTATTAAAATCTGGATAAGTTCTAAAATTACACAACTTTGTCATCCAGTTGAAGCTATCTGGAGCCCTGTTTAGACAATGTATTATGCATAAAACTTTCAAAGAGAAATGTTTAAACCATCGTAAACACTTCAAACAAAGCATTTCTATTACTTTAATTTGTTTTTTTAAAAAGTGGATCATAATCTATCAAAGTTTCAAAATGTTTGCTCTCTAAACTTTTACCTTCCTTAGCTTGTTACTGATAACCTTTGTTTTTGCAAGACTTGACCCAAACAGGAAGTTGTACAAGTGACTGTTTTTTCCAGATTGGACTAAATAGCGAAAAGGTGTATGTAAACTTTGAATTATGCTAGAGGCCTTATGAAATTTTTGAACGAAACATCATTTATTACAGATCTTCACAGGAATATCCCTTACCAGATCTATGGACCCCATTTTTACCCCTTAAAGCCACATTGCAGTTTTCATCATGACCAAAGTAACAACACTTTATACCCTCTAAAGAACATTTCTGCACGATTTGTTTTCATTTCACCTAATCTGTTCTTGATAAAACATGGTCATTACCTTTTCAAGAACATTTCTGCATGATTTGTTTGCATCTGACTGCATCTGTTCTTGGAATGAAAAGAAACAAATGTAATTTCCCCTAGGGTTTAAATGTAAACTTTGTGCTCCAACTGGAGGTCATGTTGATTTTCTGATCTGCACCAAAATAACACACCACAGCACTTGTGAAGAACCATCTGTCAAGCTTGGTTTTGATTGGTTCAGCCATTTACAAGATAATAAGTTCAGCAAATCCGAAATTAGAATGGCAGCCATGTTTATTGATAAATCAGCCCAAAACAGTCAGATTTGACATTGGGAAAAACATCAGACTCTGCCAAGTTTGGTTTCATTCTGTTTGGTGGTTTCCAAGGAGAAGATATAAAAAGCTAACGGACGAAGGTCTAAAATGCCAAAAGATGGCAAAAGCTCACATTGGACTTAGGCCAGTTAAGCTTATAGGTTGCACTTTGTAAATACAGCTGTTTCTCAAACCACGCCTCTTTTGGGGAGATATTTAATATTCATAGGTATGTTAATTTGTTAACGTACTGGTTCCCATTGATGATCTCTGTGTTTCATCTCATAGAGACATCACTTGGGAATGTAACCAGTATTGAAAAACATGGTAGCAGCTAAATTTTAATTCTTAGGAGGTCCAAAAATGGAGGTAAGGGTAGTATAGAATTTTAGTATAAGTTTAAACTCTTAGAAGTTCAGGGCATATAAATGTTGAAAATATGCCGCACAGCCCTATATTTTGACCTTTGAATAAAATAGTAGTGCATATAAACTTTCCGTTCCGGGATATTATTTTTCACGAAACTTCATAGTAAAAGTGTCACAATTTTAGCCGCAAAGGGAGTTCCTATGGGAAATTGCATTGTCAGTATTTACAGAATTGCAACCTATAGTAATGCACAAAATAAACTGTTGACAATTTCCTGAGTTATTTAACCATCAAAACCAATTAACTGTGGTATGGCAGAGTCAACTAGAGATGTCCGCATAGCAAGACTACTACCCCCATGCATTTTAGTTCCTACTGTGAATTTCAGAATTGAGAAAATGACATTTTTAGATTTTTGGTTTTCAGCATAGTGGTCCAGGGTCAAGGTGACCTGATTTTGGTATTTGACACATCCTGATCCCATGGTGCTTCTGCATACAAAGTTTTGTCAATCTTAGTGCTACAGTACAAAAGTTATGCACCATACACAAATCAGACAATGTTTTACTATCATAGGAGTCATAGGACAAAGTCAAGGTCAGTATAATCCTTCTGCAGACCAAGTTTTGTTGATCTAACTACTAGGGTACAAAAGTTATGAACAGAACACAAATCAGAAATGTTTTTCTATCTATAGGGTCAAAGGTCAAAGTCAAGGTCAGATTGATACTACCATCTCATGATGCATCAGCATACCAAGTTTGGTCAACCTAAGTTCTACGCTACAAAAGTTATGAGCCTGGCATGAAATGGACATGGATTTACTTTAATAGAGGTCAAATGTTTAAGTAAAGGTTAAGTGAACGGACTTAGGAATATGTCTTACCCCCAGCCCATGATGCATCCAGTTTGATCAACCTAAGGTCAATGGTGAAAATCTATACCCTTTCTGAAAAGTGGACCTAAATGACAAGAGTGAACAAAAGTCACATAATAATACAAAGTAGATCGTTGTGATTCAATAATACCAAAGGTTGAAGTACAGAATTTTAGTAACATACTATCCTAGGTTTCCGACTTCAATAAAATATCTGAAGTGTGAAATATAGGTCGTTACTAATTATTTGCTATAAAAAAAAATTGTACTGATACTTAATAAGGAAAATAGCACATTGAAATATTGTTAGTATGTCATGAAAGGTTCTTGAGAAATAAATCGAAAGAAAAAAAAATACCTGTAATTTATAATCATTAAATGTATTTAACTTGGACCTTCAATCATGATTCTTGAAACAACAGTAAATAACTAGCATTGCTACATAAAAAGTTAACCAAAACCAAATACTAATAAACAGCTGCGCCACAAGCGCATGATACGCCTGTCGTCTTTTGTGTGAGGTTTTATGCAATAATCATAAATCGTTTTTGAGATATGGCATGACATGTGAAAACCCCCCTTTTTTTATAAAAAAATCAATAACTCTAAAACAAAATTTTGAATCATCACCAAAAGGTATACAGATCTTTAGATTAATATAATTAAGAAGTGTGTAAAGTTTTAAGCAATAATCATAAATCGTTTTTGAGATCTGGCGCGACATGTGAAAACCCCCCCTTTTATTCCAAAAAAACTCAATAACTCTAAAATAAAATTTTGAATCATCACCAAAAAGTATACAGATCTTTAGATTAATACAACAAAGAAGTGTGTAAAGTTTTAAGCAATAATCATAAATCATTTTTGAGATACGGCGCGACATGTGAAAAAAACATCCCCCTTTTTTAGTTACAAAGTCCCGTACCTCAAAAAGTTTTAATCTTATTTTCACCAAAAAGTATACAGATCGTTTGACCATCATAAGAAACAACTATGTTAAGTTTCATGAAATTTGGATAAGTCGTTCACAAGTTCTCCAGTTACAGTGCGACATGTGGACGCTGGACAGACGGACAGACAGACAGATGGACGCCCGACATTTGTATACCATAATATGTCCCGTCAAAATTTTGACAGGCGTATAAAAACTTAAACAGGCTGACAACAAATCAAAAGGAGTAAATTAGCATAAAAGACCTTCTGGAAAAAAGTGTTTTATTTTTTTTTCTATATGCTTTATCTAAACATTCATTAATCTACATGTATCTTCTAGGTATCAATTATCCCTGAAAAACACCCCCTCTCAATCTTCAAACCTCTTATACCCACCCCCCTTTTTTGATACAGATCTACATAAACTTCTTCAATAATTCCTAAAATATTCACAGCTAACACATGAAGAAGAAACTATTCTAAGTTCTGCATGAGATAATTAAATCATCAAAATGAGATATTTACAATGTCATTCTGTTACCTCATTATAAAACAACATGTTTGTAGAAATTAATGAAGAAATTCTACACAAGATAAATAAATAACTATGATAAACAACATTCCTGTTAAACACGGAAGTTCATATAAATCAGGTCATACTGTAAAATTACTCACGTATCCTGATCCTCCTCATCATCATCAT